ATATGACAGAAAATTTACAATAATTGCTGAGTCTGGCTTATTTAAATACTGAAAATGATGTTTCCAGTTCCATCCATTTTCCTGCAAGTGACATAATTTTATTTTTTTATGGCTGAATGAAACTTCCTTATATGTATATGCCTCACTTTCTTTTTCCATTGATCTACTGATGGACACCTAGACTAGTCCCATAACAGCTATTGTGAGTTGTGGTGCTGTAAGCATGGGAATCCATCTCCAAACTGTTAAGATAGATCCTGAGATTCATGTAGTAGTTCTTCGGGTTTTCTGAGGAAGCATCCACCCTGATTTCGTAGTGGTTGTATTAATTTATATTCTCAGCAGTGTTGTGTGTGTACTCCCTTTCTCCCATGTCCTTGTCAGCATTTATTATTTATTATTTGTAGTTCTGATGATTGGCATTCTAACTAGAGTGACGTGGAATCTTAGGAAACTTTTGACTTGCATTTCCGTGATTGTTAAAAATTTGGAACATTTTCTTTATAATTGTTTGCTATTTGTGCTTTTTTTTTTAAGAGAGTGAGAGAGAGAGAGAGAGAATTTTTAATATTTATTTTTTAGTTTTCGGCAGACACAACATCTTTGTTTATATGTGATGCTGAGGATCGAACCCAGGCTGCACACATGCCAGGCAAGCACTTGAGCCACATCCCCAGCCCTGTGCTATTTTTTTGAGAGATGAGAAATATTTATTTTATTGAATTTTTTTTTTTTTTTTGGTACTAGGGATTGAACTCAGGGTCACTTGGCCACTGAGCTACATCCCCAGCCCTATTTTGTATTTTATTTAGAGACAGAGTCTCACTGAGTTGCTTTGCACCTTGTTGTTGCTGAGGCTGGCTTTGAACTCAGGAACCTCCTGCCTCAGCCTCCTCAGCTGTTGGGATTACAGGCATGCACCACCATGCCCAGCTGAATGGGTTGTTTTGTTTTCTGGTTTTAAGTTCATTTTGTATTCGGGATATTAATCAGTAGTAAATGACAAAGATCTTTTCTCATTTAGTAGGCTATCTATTCTGGCTGATGTTTTTTTTCCTTTGCCATGCAGAAGGTTTTTAGTTTAATGCCATCTCATTTATTGATTCTTTTTTTCTGTGGTGCTGGGGATTGAACTCAGGGTTTTGTACATGCTAGGCAAGCACTCTACCAACTGAGATATTTCCCCAACCCTCATTTATTGATTCTTGATTATTTACTGAACTGTAAGATCCTAGTGGGGAAGCAAATCCTGTGCACTATGTTGGACTGTTCCTAGTTTTCTTGTAGCAGCTGTAAAGTTTCTGGTCTTAGACCTTGACCCATTTGGGGTTGACCTTTGTGCAGGTTTAGAGATAGGAATGTAGGCTCAGTCTTTGACATGCAGACATCCCCATGTTCCCAGCACCAGTTGTTAGGACTTCTTTTCTCTAATGTTTGTTATTTTGGCCTTTGTGGGTCATCAAATGATCACAGCCGTGAGGCTCTGTCTGTTCTCTCCTGTGTTCCATCACTTGTTCTTGTGTGTCTGCTTTTATTCCAGCACCACCATGTTTTGTTGCTCTTGTCTGTAATCAGAAGTCGGGTATTGTGATTCCTTCAGCTTTACTGTTTTTAACTCAGAACTGCTTTACTTGCTGGACTTTTTAGGATTCCATGTGAATTTTAGGATTATTTGTTTACTGTGAAGAATCTCATTGGTATTTGGAGGAGGTTGCCTCGTCTATAGAGTTTTTCCATGAACACTGGGAGTCTTCCCTTCTCCTCGCATCCTGTTCTTCCTCACTCACTGGTCTGTAATTTTGGTTGTAAAAGTTTTTCACTTCTGTTGTCAGATTTATTCCTGAGCATTTTACTTTTTAAAGTTATTTTGAATGGAATAGGCTTCTTAATTTCTTTTTCAGCAGATTATTGTATAGAAAAGCTCTGGTTAGGATGGGTGCAGTGGCTGGGGAGGCAGAGGCAGAAGGATCGTGAATTCAAAGCCAACCTCAGCAACTTAGTGAGACCCTGTCTCTAAATGAAATATAAAAAAGGGCTGGGAATGTGGCTCAGTGGATGAGTGACCTGGAGTTCAGTCCCCAGTACAAAAAAAAAAAAAAAACAAAAAACTGCTGATTTTGGCATTGATTTTCTTATTCTGTTACTTTGTTGGATTTGTTGTTCAGATCTGGGATTCTTTGTTGAAGGTTTCAGAATTTCCTATGTGTAGGAAGGATCATATCCTTTGCAGATATGGGTATTTTGAGTTTTTCATTTTTAATTTGTGTCTTTATTTCTGCCCCTTGCCAAATGCTCCAGCTAAAAATACAAGTATGACATTGAGCAGAATTTATGAGTGTGGACATCCTCATGTTGTTCTTGGTTTTAGAGGAAGTGCTTTCATTTCTTCACACTCATCATGCTGTTGGCTTTGTGGTTGTCATATGTAGCCACTATGATTTGAAGTAAGTTCCTTCTATCCCTAGTTTATTAAGGATTTTTATCAAGAAGTGGGGTTGAATTTCACTGAAGCCTTTTTCTGCATCAGTTCAGGTGATCTTGTCTTTTTTAGTTTGGTTCTGTACGTGTAGTATACTGCATTTATTTATTTGCATATGCTGAGCTGTCCTGTGTCCTTGGTGTTTTGGTGGGAGTCACTGCAGTGCTTTTTCATAGATATTGTACAATAAGCCATGCTTTGTTGACATTCCATCTGGATGCTGCATCGCCTTAAAGAGAGTTGACAGAAGGCATATTGATGGGGATAATATGCATTGCCAAAGTACCCAAGTTCTGACAGAAGAGAAAATTACAAGAGATTCATTCTCCAGAGTGCTAGGAAAGTGCTACCCTGTGGGTACTTACAGAGCACGGGAGATGTGATCGTCTCATGCTTTACATAAAACTGGTGGGCACCTTTTATTTCACTTTGTTTGGGGCGCTGATAACCCTGCAGTGATGGTGTGTCCATTTTTGCATGCTTCTTTTACAGTAAATTCCACCTTATTTGCTTGGTCTAAATTTTCTGTGACAGATTCTTCCCCATGCTTAATGACTTCCCCAAGTTAATTTCTTTCTTTTTATCATTAAGTATTTTATCAGGATTTTAAAAATAATTTGTATAAACCATCATATTTGATGCAGAAATTCATTTTTTTGTGACTTCAGGCTTGGGGCTGGTTTTGAAGAGGGAAAATTCCCACTGTTGTTTGCGGGAGACATTGGCCTTGCTACTGGAGGTTCTGAATCAGACCCTAGTCACCTGTGCTTCCACTGGATTCCACCTTACTGTGCCTCCTGGTGTCACCTCCCTGAGGGATGGGGCTGGCTGTGCAGTAAAGCTATGAAAGGGATACATCAGAAAAGAAAGGCCAACAGGCCAGAGTATTGGCAGAGGGTTAGGGTTAACCGGAGGGCTCTGACCTCAGGAGAGGGCACAGGTCAGGAGGAAGGGGTGGGAAGGAGGTCTCAGCAGGTGTCCTGCTCTCCTTGCCACAGGGCCTTGCCTAGGGGTTGGTGGCCTCCGGCCTGCTTGTCATCTGGAGGCTGCCAGGCCTCAAGGCTCTGAGCTGAGACAGGCCAGCAGGATCCGGTGGTCTCCACCTGGTGGGTCCCAGAGAAACCATGGCTCAAGGGACCATGATTAGCATGCGGGTCCTGTAGCGCCCTCGCCTGCCCGCATTCTGGGTTACAGAGGCGGGAGTTACACACACTCACCTTCCTTAGAGTCAAAGTCACAGCTCGGAGCAGAGGATGCAGGAAAGGAAAAGAAAATACACAACCTGAGCTCTTCATCCTTTATTCTTCCAGTGTGTGTATGTCAGTAATATAAAAAGCCAACCCCCAGTTGATTTATAATTTTCCCCAATTGAATATGTTTTTTATTTCTGTTCACAGGAACAATTCTGTCTTAATGTATAAAAAGTTGCCGTTTGTATGTGTGCTAAAATGTAAATATCATTGATGAGTCTGATTTTGCTGCCTTCTTTAAATGTTTACACTACTCTTTGGTTATGATGACTGTCCTGTTATGAAAATTCTATTTTTTAATCTTTATTTTTTAGTTGTAGTTGAACACAATATCTTTATTTTATTTATTTATTTTATATGGTGCTGAGGATCTGACCCAAGGCTTCGCACATGCTAGGCAAGTGCTGTACCACTGAGCACTCCCCCAGCCCCTGAAAATTTTTTTAATATTCACACTTTATTTTGACCTTTTTATGAATTATGTCAGAAAAACTTGGATAAAACCTGGACTCTACCATTTACTGGATGTTTGATAAAATGGCATAAAAGATGAAAACTATTAGGTCTCTCATAGGTTATTATGGGTTTTATACATAAGGTATGAAAACCACTTAGAGTGATATTTATATATTTGCAGTGAACCAAAACAATCCAAAAGGATTGTTGTTGCTCCTTGCTGTTATAATGAAATGCATATTTGAATTCAAATTCATCAATTTTTCCTTTATTATTCTACTTCATTGCTATTCAAGGGCTTTTCTTTGGACCATTGGCATTGGAATCACTAGAGGGCTTGCTCTGTGTTCAGAAATCCTATTACATTCCAAAACGGCTGAATCATTGCCTGCTTTTTTCATAAAATTTCTAATTCATGTTTGTACATGTTAAAATTTGAGAAGCATCCTCTTACTCAGTGTAACTCTCATTTGAGAAATATATACAATTGATTTTCTGCAATTATGGTTAAAATATATATTCTTGTGTTGATGCCTTAATTTTACATTTTATTTTAGAAACGTTTAGTATATACTTAAAATTTTTTATTTGTTCTTTTTAGTAGTATATATGTTTTTTACTTATATCATCTTCTCTCTTCAGAGTTAGATAATACATTAGAGCACATCAGTGTGTTTAAAAGTATATTACTGAATAATGGAGGTCAGCTGCCTGGGTGAGAACTGGTTCTCGTATTTCAACTGGGGTCCAATTAAAGACTGTTGGTGATCACACGGTCATTATGCTACTCATATACCTATTCTCTTTTTTTTCAGGAATCGTTGACATTCAGGGATGTTACCATTGATTTCACTCAAGAGGAATGGGATTGCCTGGACCTTGCTCAGCAGAATCTATATAAAGATGTGATGTTAGAGAACTACGGAAACCTGTTCTTCCTGGGTGAGCAGGGCTTCCCTTCAGAACTCAGCATTCACTATCAGTGTAAAATCTCCTTTCTTTCAGATTATCTCTTGGAAATTGCTCCAAATGAATGTTTCTGATACGTGCTTTCAGAGAAGACTGGATATCTGTTAGTATAGATAGGAAAATATTACTGATATTTCCCTTTGTGATTGAACTCTCTATCTCAAGGTGATAAACATCCTTCACTTTAAATCAGTGGTAGTTATATTATGCTTAGAAAATAATTTCAATATTTATTAATGTTCATTTTGTGCTTTTAAGTTGGCTTATCCAGAATAATATTTTATGAACTATTAAGAAGATTTACTCTGTAAGTCTAATTGCTATACAACATTTTTTGAAGTCTTGTAGTTCCTGATTACCATTGTGTCTGGTTTTATTTTTCATTATAGTAAATGGGGATTGATTTCTCCTAGCATTACCGTGTTCTTTCTGTTTCTTTAATTCTCTCAAATTTGCTTTCTATATTTGGGAAGTGTGAGGTGCATTGCCTACATATTCACTGTTCTGTAGTGTCCTAGAGAGAGGTCCCTTTTATTGTTATATTCTACTTTGTCTCATATGAAAGTTTTTTTTTTTTTTTTTTTACTTAAAATGTATTTTATTTCATATAAGTTGGTTTCAAATTGTGTTTTACTTAATATAATTCTTGCCACCTCTGCTTCCTTTAATTCATTTTTCGTTATTCCTTTCCATCCTTTCTCTTTTACTCTCCGTGACCTTAGATTAAATAGTCTAGAAGTCATGTAGGGTAAAATACGTGTAAGTGAAAAAACTTTGATAAAGAGACGAAGTAAAATAAGAGATAAAAGGGTGTCGTGTCCCACGACTAAACACTCAGGGTCACTCCAGGTGAACTGGGCTGCAGGAAATCATCTCACAGAGACAGAGAAATACCTTTTTCTTTGGATGCTGTGACAGGCCCACCCCCACCCCCTTAACTTTGGTGTTCATGGGAAGAGAGAGGAGCACTTGCTGAACCCTTTTATTGGGAAGAAGCCATTCAAATGAGGCAAGGGGTAGGGTTACACCTACTCCTGGAGCCATGTGTTGCTATCCGAGCTGGGACAATGCTTAAGTCACCATGCCCAAGTCACCATGAAATGTAGTGACTGGTCAGAGCCTGTGCTTCAGGACTGGAAGGCATGGTCATCAGAGTGGCTCCCCACATATTCCCCCTTTCTTAATATTAAAAAAAGCAACTAGGGAATTATATCTTTCAGTCACTGGATTCTTGGTTCAAGGTCATCATGATCTACTATTGAAACACAAAAAGAATTAGTAGAAAACATATCATTTTGACAACATAATCAACTTGGAAGATCTAGATTATTATTATTATTACTATTATTATTCTGCCAAACACTCATCAGAAGATTCTTAATCTTTTCCCAATTTTATTGGGAAGCATTATGTCTGGTTATAGTAGCACAGACATTTTTATTTGGCATGTGTTTAAGCCTTTCCACAAACCATAGTGCAGAAGGTTCATTTGCATTATTCATTACAGGGGCTTCTAGAGCATTTTAACTTAGAATTTAAGTCAAACTATTAAGAAAACCCATATGTTGTAAGTTCTAAAACTTAGCCATCATGGCTGTATTGTAGAAGCAAGGAATAATACTGAAGGTAGTCATTCAAGGATCATGAGACCAGGAGCTTGCCTAGGTCTGGCTAATTAGGATGCACCTGTTTCAAAGCCTGAGCATTAACTTCAGCATGTTATTGCTCTGAAATCTTAGCTGGCAATAACTAGTGATACAATAAGATAAGTTGTATACTCACAGGATATTCATCATTTTTCTCTTAATTCTCACATTTAAGGGGTCTATGGGTCTGCCAGTAATGTAAGTATACTTAGCAGAAGTCAACATCAAAACATCCTTTTGGATGCCGTCTCAGTGAGAGTTAAAGGTTTTAGGAGTTATGGCATCCTTGTGTAATCGTTCTTGTCCATTCTAGGAGACTAGCCTAAAATATCCACTACTTCTAGACATCTTGTGTTGTACTGACAAGACATGCACAATCCATCCACTTAGAAAAGGGGCCAACTTATATTGTAGAATGATTAGGACAGTAATACATTGGTGGATATTTTATGTAAATAACTGCTCTGTATAGGAAAAATCTATTTTAATAATCTATCTGACACTTGTCCAGATAAGTAAATATAGTCTTAACCTCTAAGGGCTAGCATGATTGGCTGGTTTAGGTTTCTTATATGGTGTCTTTTTCTCAAAAAATACTCCCAAACAGCTTGTTTACCATAGGATCAACATAAAGGTATAACTGACAATTACAGTCAGTACAGTTAATCTAGTTTCATTGGTGGACTTTCCAGTCCCCACTACCATGTACATTAAAAATGGACCTGAGAAATTAGTCCATAGAAGTCTCTTCATAATTTTTACTTAGATAAACTTGTGAAGTTGCATGGTTGTAAACTCTGCAGCTGGAAATTTACCTTCCTGTGCCAGGTTTCTCAGTCATTATCACAATGACAGGTTTAAACTCTATCTTATGAAATCTGATTTAATTTACTGAATCATGTTCAGTAGCAGTAAGACTCTCAGTAACACAGTTAAGAAAATTTTTGAAATATTTTTAAGATCCAGTATGTGTCTGTGGCTTCTGTTTTCCCCCTTTTCTTTATTTAATAAAATTGAGTTAAGGCATCAACAGTAGTATCATCAATTTAAGTTATAGATAATAGTACAAGTATTTAAATAATAAGAAAGGATTTATTATCCTTAGCTAGTCATAAATTTTGACAAAGGTCATCTGCTAGCTATGTTAAGTCCAACATTAATGTGTTGGAAAGGGAGTATGGCAAATAGAAACAGCCTTTATTAAATGTAAGACTTGATTTTTGACTTTAACAGAATTACCAGAAATGAAGAATATAATAAATTGTATATAAAGATTTATATTTTGAAATTAGCTTTAAATTAACTTAAATAATTTTCTTAATTTGGAATGAAGTGAGAAACAGTTTGAAACTTAAGAATGGTGACCTTTACTAAGGGCATGAGAAAAATATAGACAATTGTCCAAAATAGGAAGTACATATGCTAATTAAGCATAGAAAAGATGTTTTGTTTTATTATTAATAAAAATGAAATAGAAAATGAATAGTCTTTTATCTATGAGTCCATGAAAAACTATCATTATTTTTATCAAATTTAGTGTTGACCTAAGAAGGGAGAGTTGGTATCCCAAATATTAATAGGTAAGAATAAGTCAACAGTGTGGTTTAAGACAGTGATCTAATTTAGAATTTGTATGACACTGAACTAGCAATGACATCTTGAGGGATGTTGTGTCAAACTAATCTTTGTGTAAAATCTTTGTGTATAAAGAAATAGTTGTGTGAGCATCCTTAATAACTTTATTTATAATAATGTAAAATTAGCTCTAATAATTATGTATAATTTATGATTTTATTAATTTTAAAAACATCAATGTATGTAGGGCATTATCTCATATTAATAAAGTTGAGAAAACATCTATCATGTTAAAAATTTCTTATTGAAATTAGCTATCAGCTGTTGAGCTGATTTGTTTATGGATGTCTAATACTTTAGGGGTAATTATTTTTATGGTTATTTTTCTCAGAGACAGGGGTTGACAGGGGTTTGAAGTTAGGCCCTGTTTCAGTGTTTAGAGTTTTTCAAAATCTGTTTTTAGTAAAATTTTTAATTAGAAAGCTTATTTTTTGGGGGAAGGAAATATTAACATTTTAATTTCTTTCTGTCTGTATGCTTGCCCTTCTTCTTTTTTCATTTAATTATGGTGTAACATCTAAACTTGGCTAGGACTATGTTAACCTTTGTGAATCCTTTGGAATGTCTAGAGCTAATTGGATGATAAACTCATCTTTTGAAAATGGGTGGCTCCCTATAAGTTTAGGTGCTGTATTGTCTCTTTAAATCTCTCTATGAAAATAGAAGGATTTTTGTAAAGTCTTATTAAAATTATTTTTAAGGCATTTTGTTTATCTGTTGGATACCAGTTTTCCTGGGGAACTGTCTGTTCTCCAGACAAACTGTCCCTATTCTGTGTTACTGGGACATGGTTAAGATAAATCTTTCTTAAAACTATTTTTAAAATGGCCTTCTATTTTGAAGTTTAGCTAAGTAATAATATAATACTTTTCTAGATGAGGTTAGACATCTGGCATAAATTTTGAAATATATATGAATTTGGATCTCTTGAAATATCTCCCTGAATTTGTTTTGGTCTATATTAAGTTTGAGAGGTTTTCTTTGATCTTTGTTTTTAGTAGGCAATTTTTAAAGGCCTTCTTTGTTAATAGTAATTGAAGCTAGATATAAAATTAATCACTGTAATTTTTTAGTGTATAGATTAGTTGATCCATCCTAACAATTTGAAAAGAACCCTCAATCTCTTTTTGAGAGAAGGTATCAAATATCTCTATATTTTAGAATATTATCCTTTAATTAGGTGTCTCTTAGTTGTCCTTTTTAAAAATATGATTAAGGTTACTTCCCAGTGTAGGGAGTAATATATAAGCCTTACCATATGTTTTTATGGATAATAGGCCCAGTCAGAGAACTTATATAGTACCAATGAATTTCCAACAAGGTTTGCAATTTTTATTCCTTAAAACTAACATACGACTTTGGAAAACATCAGTTCTAATAAAATACTCTCCCAAATATCACAACTTTCCAACAAACAGAAGTAATATGCAAGAATCAAATTTAGTCTCCAAGTAGAAGTGTCAGAAATGGAATTTAAGTCAGCAGTTTAATATATTTAGTGTTTAGATATGAATTTATTCACCAAAATTAATCCTTGTCTTAAACACTAAGAATCACTAGGTAAATAAAGACCTTAAAGGAAATAAACTTAACATTTTAATTGGTCTTTATCATGTCAAAATATGGACAAAGTCTTAGCTGATATCAGTATATTAAAATCAAGGAAATAGCCTGAAATATCCTTGAATATTA